AGACTACACCACTGCTCATCACCCCGCGGCGTGATCCCTGCTCTTAGGTGCTGGGCAGAAGGGAAGGGTGGTCAGGGTGAGGATGGTGAGGGAGGGCTGGTGAGGGGCTCAGAGGAATACTGGGAACAACAGCAGTGTTATTGTAGTGTGGCAGTTTCTTTTATACATAGGTGGGAGTTTTTAAAGTGTAAGGGAAAAATTAATTTTTAAAAAAAACCATGCTTGGAGGGTGGGGGTAGAAATAGAGAGATACAGTATTGTTTCTAAGGAATTGGGTTTTCATTCACTCTGGACTGGTGAAAATATTTTTTAAAGCCAGTGCACTAAGACGTCAGCTTTTATCTCAGAACCCCATGGGTTCCAGACCAAGAGTACAGGAAATCAAATTGTCGTCCTGTGTGTCTATAGCTTGCAACAGGGAGGCTTTGATTACTGACCCTGGTTCCACACACTGTAAGATCAAAAAACCGTCTCCACATTTGAAAGAGACGTAAGGTGTATTCACAGGGATGGTGGCTCAACAGATCAAGCATACTGGAATCAAGGGGAGGGGGAAGGGAATGGAATGGAAAGGGAGGCTGATTCCCTTCCCCTGACTTACCACTGATTTACTAGGCTACCTACTCTCATGAGTAACCTCTCACAGCTACCCAGCACATGCCAGTCCTATGCTTCTTTTAGCTGCAGTGTGTGAAGGGACTCTTTTAAATAAATGAGCAAGTGTCCTAAGCTATGTCATCCAAAGATTGTCCTTTCCATTATCAAATCCTGTGACTGGGATCACTCAACAGCACTGTGATGTATTATTTTCAATGAGGTGCCTTTCTTAACTGACCAAATGCTGCTTTGTTTGGCCCCTAAATCAATAAAATGTTAAAAATTTGTTTAAAAAAAAAAAATCTCTAATGGAATGGGGAAAACATTTCATTGTACAAAACTTAAAATTTGGAAGGAAAAGTGCCACCACACAAGATGGCATACTTCTAGTATGGCTAAGTAGACACTGTCAGGGCAAACCACTGAATAACTATAAACTCTGGACAAAATATTTTATAAAAACAAAAGCTTTCTGAAGGCCCTGGGGAACAAACAAACAGGCAGACACAGAAGGGGAGTCTACATGCATAAAAAGCCAATGAGGTTTTTGTTTTTCCTTTACATCTTTTAGCCTGAAGGCAGGCCTCACTTAGAGTTTAGAACAACAACAGACATGGTAAAGTGGGAAATCCCAGAAAAGGAAGAGTCAGAAAGGGGGAGGGAGTCCTATACATTCGGTATATAAATTCTACGGAAATCTCTGGCTGAACCCTGAACCATGCATGTACATGCTGCAGACTCCAAGGAATCTAGCTAAAAGAACAGAACCAATATTTGATCTGCTGCCCACAAGGGATATGGATAGCAACAACAAAACACACTATTTGGAGGAATAAAACAGGATCTAGAACCTCTACAACATTATCATTCACAAAATTCAGCATACAATCCAAAATTGTTCAACATATGGGAAACAAACAAAAAAGGAAAACACATTTTCAAGAAGAAAGAATCAACTAGAAACTTCAGGACAGCTATAATCATGCTTAAAGACATAAAGGAAAATATCCTCAATGAATGAAAAAATATACAATACAGATGGTCCCTGACTCACAATGGCCTGTCGTGCAATTTCCCAACTTTAAAGCATGATGAATATTCAGCATGCTCCTCGATTAAGTCCAGATAACCCCACTGTAAATTGAAATTTACATACTTTCAATTTACAGTGGGTTTAATCAGGATGTAATCTCATTGTAAGTAAAGGAGTAACTGCAATTGAAAATGCCACCACAATCCCCTCACCTTCAAAACTACAGTAGCAGCTTGGGAATGAGGCAGTGGTAAGTTCTAAAGTGGCATCAACATTACAGAAAAACCATGGGCAATTACTGAAGAAGGGAATAAACTTATTCTGATTATCTATTACTCCGTAATTTATAACTTTTAGTCAATTACTACAATCACCTATGAGGTATTATCTCACTTTACAGAAAAGAAAAATGAGGCTCAAAGAGATTGTGATGGCTCAAGGTCACACAAACTAGTACTTAATTCTGGCCATATTTTAAGCAACAATGAGCTGAAAAGCCTCTTCAAGAGAATGGCAGCTAGCAAAGCAGAAATTAGAATAGGCAATTTATTTGAAAGCATAATCATTAAAGGTTTCTCATTTAGGCCGGGCCCGGTGGCTCACGCCTCTAGTCCCAGCACTTTGGGAGGCCGAGGCGGGCGGATCACCAGGTCAGGAGATCGAGACCATCCTGGCTAAAACGGTGAAACTCCGTCTCTATAAAAATACAAAAAATCAGCCGGGCATGGTGGCGGGCGCCTGTAGTCCCAGCTTCTCAGGAGGCTGAGGCAGGAGAATGGTGTGAACCCGGAAGGCGCAGCTTGCAGTGAGCCGAGATCGCGCCACTGTACTCCAGCCAGGGCTACGAGCCAGACTCCGTTTAAAAAGAAAATAATAAATCAATAATAAAAAATAATACTAAAGGTTTCTCATTTAGGAAAGGAACTTAGGTAGACTTTTCTTGTACTTTTCTTGATACTTGCTCGGTTTAATGTGAAATCCCACTACTTGTGAAAGGTTAGAAGGGCCTGGTTATATAAGCAATAGAACAGCCTCACAATGGAATGCTATGTAGCATTAAAATGACAGTGTAGAAATGTCTACTGATAAGGAAAGCTGATCAGAATACATTACAAAAAAGCAGGCTACCAAACAGTATAAATAATATCTTCCCCATTTTGTAAAAACTAATTATCTGTAAGGTCTGTTAAGTGTAGACATCAAAATGTTAACAATGGTAATTTCCAGGTTGACAAGACAATGGATGATTTTTATTTTTTGAGCTTATTCTATGTGGTAATCTCAATACTGTTTTTCCTATAACGTATTACATGTGTAATAAAAATTAAACTTATTCATCAACTCAAATATTGTGTACATACTGCATATCAGGTACTATTTGTTTAAAAAAAGCGGGGAGGGAGAGGCGGAGCGGGAGGGAGACAGAGAGGGAGAGAGGGAGAGAGGGAGAGAGGGAGAGAGGGACAGAGGGACAGAGGGAGAGAGGGAGAGGGAGAGTTGTAGAAACATTAAACCTGATTAAAATGGTCCTCCACTACCTCAAGTTGTTCTTTTTCATTGTTAAAACTGCTTTTCAATTTATACTTCTAGCCCCTTTGCCTCAAAAACAAAAGAAAATCTACAGGCACTCTTATTTCTATTCTTTCTACCATGTCTGACGCTCATCATCTTTCACCTAGCATTCTGCAAGAGCCTCTTATCTACTTAGTCTCCCAGTTTCTGGGTCCAAATCAAACCCATTCCACCCTCAGTCCTATCCAGTGACCCATCCAAAACAGAAACCAGATCTTATTTCTGTACTCTAAAAACTTTCACTGACTTCTTACTGCCTCTGAGATAAAATCAAATTCTTCAGTATGGCACGCAAGGAGCTCCAATATCTGGCCCCTGTCTCCCCCTTATTTCATTTGGGAACACACCTTACCTCCAACAGCAGAGGTGGCTTCTCATACATACCGATCTTTTTCTTGCCAACAAGGCTTTTTTTAAGTTGTCCTTTCCACCTAGAATACCCTCTGACCCCATGCCCAATCTGTTAGTACTACCTTCAGGAAAAATCTTATGCACCTTGAAACCACATTGGATGACCCTATTCACATCTCTAACACTGTGCTTTTACATCGTCTCATATTTATCTTAAAGTTCCTCTTACGTGAGACTATCAATTCCAAAAGAATGGGAACTAAGTCTTTTCCTTATCTGTAATATGAGGAAAAAGTAATATCAACCTCAAAAATGGGATGTGGAATGTAGATATTTAACTCAGTGCTTGGCATACAGAAAACAGTTATCAAATGACTATCATTATTATCCACACTGTTACCTAGAGCTCAGCAGTGCATGACCTACAGTAAGACTTCAAATGTTTACTGAAAGACTGAACTCTGCAAAAAGGAATATTCCCATTTTACAACTGAAGAAACTGAGGAAGATTAATAGCACAAAGTCATAGAGCCACAAAAGGCAGTTAAGCTACCATCCAAACTCGAGTCTAACTCTTAAAACCCTGAATTCATTCTCAACGAACATACACTATCTCCCTCTTGCTGAGAAATGACTTAACCTATTTTACTCCTAGAAAACAAACAAAACTAAGGCTTCTTTCCAGTATTACTTGTGTAACAGGCCCTGTTGTTATAATTGACATTTCTGGAATCTGCATTTTTAGATTAACATGAAGGAGTGTTTCAACTTCTCTGCAATTCAATTTCCTTGCCTACAATGAGATGTACTTGGATCTCAAACAGACCATTTAACCTCTAAAATCCTGTGGTTCTTTAACTGGGTGCAGTTATTTGCGGCGCCGTTCTTTCAGAGTCAGTTTGATACCATTTATTTACCCAGCATTTCCGATATGCAAAGCACAACTGCAGTAAATCAAACATTGGTCACCCTTTTCCAGCCCTAAGGAAGTTCTCCGTACGCCTTCACGAAACAAGCCAGAGCTCTCCAGTATGCTGCAACCTAACAGCATTCAGGTCACTAGGCTTGAAATGCGAGGTGCCTCCTTCGGGGCGGGGGTCTTCGAAACTGATCTGGCCAGGGCAGGCCTAGATTCTGCGCTACAGCGAAATAGCAAAAAAACAAAACAAAACAAAACAAAACAAAAACACATCACCAAGCAGCCCCTCTTTTCTGTCCTCCTCGACCAAACTAGGAGTACACTTCCCAGTCTGGCAGCCCTCCCTCGAGGCTTGTCTCTCACGGTGGGGCTGCAGCGGCCTCCCTAAGAGGGCGAAGGCCGCAGTGTCCTTGCTGCCGCCTGCAGGCCCGTGCAGAGCCCAGGGCTCTCCTGCGCCCAAAACTAAGGGAGACACAGAGAGCAAGAGAAGGGCGGCAGCAGCGCCGGGCTCGGCTCGAGCCTCCTTACCCAGTGGGCGGTGAGGCCAGCCGCCCTGGCCCGGAGCGCCGCGGAGAAGAACATGGCGGGCCACACTGTTCACCTTTCCCCGGCCGCGCCAGGCGAGAATCCCGAGCGAGCCCAGGACGCACAGCGTGCGCGTTCCCGACCCCAGGCCTAGGCGTCCCGGGCGGCACGCCGCTCCCTACGCCGAGGGGCGGTGGCCGACGGGAGGGAGCGAGGGCGCGCGGGGGCTGCTGGGGCCCTGTGGGCGGAGACTTCCCGGGGGAGGGGCGGGGACCAGCCCGTGCTCGGAAAGGGCGGTGTCCCACGGGCTGCCGCAGGGGTCCGGGCCTTGAAAGGAAGTGCCCGGGAGCTGCGCCCTGGGCTCCTGGGTAACGAAGCGCCCGCCTGGATTTATAGGAGTGAGGTTCCCTCATGGAGAGCCTTGTGAGGTTTAGCCACCTCCTCTTATATTGCTGTTAGTTAAAAATAAATTCGGGTTGCAACCAACTATAAATCTTGTTCTACATGTTATAAATTCAAAACACAGAAGGCTGCTACCCAGTGTGCTAGCCATAGACACCAAATGTCTTGGTTCCCATTCTTTTGCATTAGAGATATGTGCGACATATTTAGGGATGAAATGGTATGATGTCTGGAATTTGCTTGAGAATAGTGAGGAGTGGGAGGTGAAAAATAAAGCAAGTTGGCCGTAAGTACGGCCATAGAAGCTGCATGGACGTTCTTATTTACTATTCTCGGTATTTTTGTACACATTAGATATTTTCCATAATAAAGCTGAAAAAAAAAAAAACCCACTTCCTTCTTCATGTTTGTTTGGTTATCTCTGGAAATTCCAACAAGTATTTACTCAGTAACAGCTCTAATGTGCACAGCACTATTTCCTGGTGTGGACTACCTCTTGATTTTTTACGTCACTGCCTTCTTTTCTGGAGTGTCAAGTCCTGTACCCACCCCCTTCCTTTTGCCCATTTTCTTTGCTATAATAAACTTGTGAATAGTTTCTAGAACATTCACAGTAGCACAGGGATTTTTAAAATTTATCCCTCATTAGTTTAAAAACTCAGAAATATTCCATTGCAACCCCTATGAATCATATTTCGCAAATTATAGAATTCAAGACACGGAGGACTGCTGCCCAGTGAGCTAGAAATAGATACCAAATGCCTTAGTTCCCACTCCTTTGCCTTATATTTTATGTTAGTTTGCCTCTCCTAACTCAGCTTCAGTATTTCCCTTTAAAAGGGAAAGACAGTCTGGCTTTTAAAGTAAATGTATTTTGTTATAAAGTTACCTAAATACTTATACACCTGGCCGGGCGCGGGGCTCACGCCTGTAATGTCGGCACTTTGGGAGGCCAAGGCGGGAGGATCACGAGGTCAGGAGATCGTAGACCATCCTGGCTAACAGAGTGAAACCCCGTCTCTACTAAAAATACAAGAAATTAGCCGGTCATGGTGGCGGGCACATGTAGTCCCAGCTACTCGGCAGGCTAAGGCCGGAGAATGGCGTGAACCCAGGAGGCAGAGCTTGCAGTGAGCTGAGATCGTGCCACTGCACTCCGGCCTGGGCGACGGAGCAAGACTCCGTCTCAAAATAATAATAATAATAATACTTATACATCTAACACTATTGTGCACATAATAGTTCTTACTGCTTATACAGCTAAAACCAAAACATGTCACAAATACTTGATGGATGATACAGACATTATATGGATTCTTTTTGAATCTGTAATGCATGCTTTTACTGGATTTTATTAGGGCCTTCTCTGACTCCCAATCCAGATTAGTCCTCAAGATACCGTCCCAAAATATGCCTGCCCGCACTTTCACTACATTTATGACCAGATTATAACCTCCATGGATGGAGAAACCTGCCCTTCCCATATTGTTTGGTGCAGCAACTTGCACTATACCTGGCAAATGGAAGGCGTTCAGTGAATATTTGTTGGCTGAATGAAAATCTTGCTTATAGTGCAAATATTGTGCCTACCTAAAAGGGTTAGAATTATGCTCATTTCTATTTGTCTTAGGTCCGAATTATGCTTGTTTCTATGTGTATCAGTGAGAGTGCTTTTCACCACAAGTAACAGGGGATCTAACAAGTAGATTAAAGGATACTGAGTTCATCATGTCACATGAAAAACAATTCCAGAGATAGAGTAGTTCCAAGGTTAGTTAATTCAACCCTGCCCAATGATGTCTTCAAAATGTTTAGCAGCTTCCATCTTTTTACTCCAATATACTCAGCCGTGTCTCCTATTATAGACACAAGATACCTGCAGCAGTTCCAAATATCATATGCAGATGACAACATTCCAAAGAAAAAGAACTCATCTCTAAAGTGTCCCAGATGTTCCTCCAGCAGACTTCTTGTCTCACTGGCTTACAAGACATAGTGGTTAAGAGGGAAGCTCTAGAATCAAACTATGGGGGTTCAGCTGCTGCTTTCTAGCTGTGTGACTTTAGGCAAGTTAATCTCTCTGGGCTTTGGTTTAATAATGGTACCTTCCTCATGGCTTTGTTATGAGAATGTGAAAGGAAAATAAATCTCGGGACCCCCAAATCACTAAGCCGAGGGAAAAGACAAGCTGGGAACTATGTCAGGTAATCTACCTCCCATTTTTTTTTCCTAAATAAGATAGCTACAAAGATAAAAAGCTACATACCTCCCTCACAATTTGCCCACAAGGAAATTCCTTATGGACGAAGGAGAGACGCAGCTCGATGTCATCCCTCTGAGGCTCGCCTGAGACAAGAGCATATCTGATTGCTTTCTCTGCCCTATTGTTCGTGTGAAAATGCAAATTCACTGAGCCAGACTAAATTTTGTATTCAGTGGAGGGCTGATCAAGGACTCAAAAGAATGCAACCTTTTGTCTCTTATCTATTTAGGATTTGGAAGCTCTCCCTCAAGTTGTCTTGCCTTACCGAAGTGAACCAATGTACATCTTACACATATTGATTGATGTCTCATGTCTCCCTAAAATGTATAAAAGCCAACCACCTTGGGCACATGTCAGCAGGATCTCCTGAGGCTATGTCAGGGTGTGTCCTTAACCTTGGCAAAATAAACTTTCTAGATTGATTGAGAACTATCTCTTTTGGTTTACAAGAATGAAACTGAAATGGCATCACCGTCTGGGGTAAATATCCAGGATTCGGCATCTCCCGCCAAGAGGATTAAGGAAACGGACACGTGGGTGGGTTAAGGAGCTTAATAGGCATAAGAAAGGGGAGAGGAGAGCAGCTCCTTGTAAGACGTCTGAAAAAAGGGGCAAGGGCGGACCACAGCAGATTTTATAAGCAGGCTTGAGGAGGCAGTGTCTGATTTATGTAGGGCTCACAGATTGGTTTGACCAGGTGTGACGTGGGGAAGGCTGGTCTCCCAACCCTAATCTTATTATACAAATGGGCTTTCCACTTGGGCAGTGCCATCTAGTCTGCTTCTTACTGTACATGTGGCTGGCAAAAAGAGAAGATGGTGCTGCCACTTTGAACATGCCTCATCCCGAGTAGTATATTCCCATGGGCACAACTGCCGGAATTCACCTGTGCAAGCTCCTAGTTTGCTTGTCTATGTCTGCAGCTCAATTTTACAGGCTGCTCTTTGTTAGAAAAGAAAATGATTGGGGGCTGTTTTTATTAAAAGGAAAACCTTACTGAGGACTCCCATACCCTCACTATCTGCCTAAGCAATTTCTTCTTAACTCCTGTATCGAAATGAGTTGATACCTTTTAAAGTTCTTTAAAAAGTACCTAGCACAGAGTAAACGCTTAGAAAGTGTTAGCCTTCATTATCATCATCACCATCATCAGAACAAGACATTACAATATTATGATGATTAAGCCACTAATTAGAAAGGAGAATGGAAGGGCTAGTTTGGGGCCCATTAGCTCCTGAACAAAATAGCTCTGCCAGCAAGGAAGGGGCTGAAGAAGTAAATCTAGGTAGGCAACTAGATTTTCCACAGTAGACCACCCTCTTTTTGAGTTCATGACCTATAGAGAAAGTGTATATCCCATTGGTGCCTGACACTAATCAAGGACTTACCAGTTGCCTCCAATTTCTGTTACCTAAGAGCAGAACCGAAAAGTGCAAAGAGTAATGTTTAAAACAGTAAGGATGAGTGCTAAGGGAGCGTCTAGCCTGTTAACACCTTCTTGAAGATGTTATAGAAAGTAAGATGCTTTTAGTTCAATTCAACTTTATTTCAATACAACTGCCAGTAAATGTGGCACCACACTGTTCACCAAGTCAAAAGACTTGTTAACGTCCAGCACAACTTTGGCTTATCCTTAGCCCAAATATTTATTTAGTGAGAAAGTCAGGATGAATATCTTTTAACATCCAGTAACGTAAGTTAATTTCTGGAGCCACTCCACTTATAAAGTAACCTCGTGTGCAATCAGCTATTCTCAGAGTCCTTAGGATAGAATTGTGGGGGCTGTTTGGAAAATTCATCTTCTTCCTCCCACTATCAAAGTCATTATTTCTGGGCACAGACCAGCATGGACATCGATGATTTCAAGTTACTGACCTAACCCTACAAGCTTGACTGAAATTGGCTTGATTATGTAATGAACCTGTAATGAACACCATGGCTGCCTGGTTTGATATATTGCACTATTCTAAGTTGGCACTAGTATCATAAGCCCAGGGAAATTGGACCTAACTATAATGGTCAAGCTGTTAAATAAAGAATGTGTGGGCGTTGGGGGTGGGGAGTGAGGGACTGGAGGCGGGGGAGCTAGGATAAAGTCTAGAGGGATGACCAAATGTGGGAACTTTGACTCTTTCATTCCTGATTTCTTCGCCATTTAAACCATCACACACGGGCACTCTCAAGGACGTGGTATAATGAAAACCATGAGCTTTGTAATTGGATTTGAATTCTGACCTAGTCACTTACTCACTTTTGTGAAGCTTTGGTTCTCAGTTTCTGAAAGTATAATTAGAACATTAAATCATTCAGTTTATGGAAAATGATGAACATGGTGCCTGGCACACAGTAAGAGTTCAGAAAAGCTTTGGGTTTATTTGGTGTTTTTTTTGTTTTGTTTTGTTTTTTTTCAGTATCTAACAAGTTGTCCACTCCATCTATGGAACAGTTTAGTCAGATATTCTATATTGTGATTATCTCCTAAGTCACATCCTACTTATTAAAGCAGCCACAGGTAGATCGTGCACTCTGGCTCTCAGCATGCCCTCACATAACAATATTGACCTGCCTGCCTTGCTGGG